GTCTTGCAGAATTTTTGAGTCTCCATCGGATTTCACTTGACGATAGAGAGTCGTCAGCATGGTCAGAACAGAAAGCAAAACCATGTCCAGAAAAGTTCAATTTAGGAGGGAAAAACCAAGTTGTTTACTTAAGAAAACACTTAGTCTTAGGATTTTTCAGACCAGTCCCATAGGGTTCGTGCACAGGATGTCAAGTGGTGTCCGCATATGGAACTCTTTATATAGGCCTGCGCCTATATAGGCCTAGCCCAGATGTCGGACAACTCAACCGTTTGCCAACTCGACTTCGGACAATTCGACCATTGAGACAACTCGACCGTTTGCCAAGTCGTCCGTCAGGACAACTTGACCAGTCGTTTCACCAGTTCAAGATAGCGAAAATCATTCATTCAGACGAATGTGGTGACACATTTTTTCACAGAGACAGATTGTAAAACTTAAAAGAGAACCACTGCAGCGCTATGTGTGGGGCTAATATAGGCCTCGGCCCTACTACAGTTCCAACTTCCAAGGTGTCGGAAATATATTCATATCTCATAGAATTCCATATAAACAGGTACACCACTGCGACAGCCAGATGACGAAACGTCATGCATGCCCGGCCCCCAGTTGACAGACGATAAAATATTAAAAACTTACTTTTTCCTTTCTTGACGTTATATTCCTTCAATGATGTCACCCAGTCCATTTTGCTGAGAGACATGTAAGCCGTAAACCGTCCTAGGGAACGTTTTCCTTTTAGTTTCAATCAGTAAAAACTTAAAATCTTCCAACGTTGGACCTTGTTTGAAGCACACACTTTACTCGCCATGTTTTCAACTGACGTCGGTCGTTGAAAAGTTCAATGACACGACAGGTTAGTTGACCCCATAGAGCTACAAACCATGAGGTTGACCTCATCTCAGCCCACGTACACGTGTATTCAGCATGCAAGAGCATGCTTGGAACTGCTTGGCGCCGGGAGTTTATGCACTTCATTCAGTCTTTGGCGGGAATCATCAAATATTAGCCTTCAAGATTAAACTGGACATTGGAGGAATAAGAGCACGGGTAGCATTTTACAACTTAACCATGTTAACGTTACTTTCATTGTTTCCAGTCATGCCAATTCAGCCACGATCTAGAGGTAGAATCACACTTCAAAGGCTTACTTGTGTTCCTTCCTCCATGCTTCACAGAACAAAACTCACAAAATCCTCACATTCTTGATCCAGGATCAGAATTTATTTTCAGATGGCACCTAAGACCTAGTAGTAACCATGGTAACTAGTGTGCTGTACTCCTTTTCATTTCAAATTTTCCCTTTGATCGGTTATCCTAGTCATGCTAGTACTAGTAGTACTAGTACGTAGTGTGACCAAAACAAAGTACATGTATCATGGAGTAGGAATCAGTTCAACTCGTACCTGGGTCAACTTGTACCCAGGTCAACTTGTACGAGATGACCCAGATTCGGAAATTCGTGGAGTAGGCCTACCCTAAATTCGCGCTTACAAATAATGTATTTGCGCATCCAACTTTCTTGTCGTGAAACTCTTCACTTCAACGAAATTATGCACTGACGTTAATTTACTGTCGATGATCAATTGTCACTTCAACGTTTTTTCTTTTTGCAGCTATGTGCAAATTTAAAGCTTTTCCAGGGAGAATTGGGGAAAAACAACAGAGCATAAAGCTTTACAGGCTAAATGCAAAAATGAACTGGTTGAAATTGTCTAAAAGTGGGTAAATGATCACTATTCGTTTGCTATTTGTCGGACATCCAACAACTAATGAGACTTCAACTTTCGCCAAATATTGAGGGCGTTATCAATAATACACCCATCCTTTCAAATCTTTATTTCTCAGTGACTTGTTCATCTGGAGAATTAAGTACCAAAAGCTGAGAACATTTAACCCAAATCTCCATGGTAAATATGTGCGCATCATGATCACTACATTATTAGTTGAATAAAAATATGCTTGTCCACTGCCTGCATGATGGTACACATGTAGTTTGAATATGGAAGTGAAGTCCTAAGATATTTTTGAGTTCTGTCACAAGTACAGGTGAACTTACTGTACATGTATCCTTAGTGTCCGACCTGTCCAAACTATAATTTGGATGGCACAACAATGGGTATTGTGTGCCATAGCATAGCCGTAGCCATAGCCACTGTCATATCAGCAACACATAATGGCAGAAGGTAGTTTTAGTTTCATCGTGGATGAAATGCTGGGTTGGCATATTTTTGATGAATTCTGTCAGGTGTGAGCCACACTTAAGAAATTCTCTGTTGAATTGTGATACCTAGTACGAAAGTACTTGGGCCAGCCGAAGTGCAGTATTAGATTTTTGATTGTCCCAACAATAGTTGGCACTGTAATGGGAGCATAACAGCATCCCGTTTTGTACATTTGATGTGTGTGAATGGCACACTTGTGTAATGGAATTTAATTTTGATTTCCAGATATGTTTCTACCGACATTTAAAATTTTTGTTTTGGAAATACATGAATCAGCATAATGTGTCTGATTTTTGTTTTCAGCTCAATTATAAGTCATCGTAAATCATCGGCCGTTATGAATGTCCTAAGCAACAGAATGTCAACCACCTGGCTCCTTAGATATCATTTTTTCTGCTGGAAGAGATGTTTCCAGTCGAGGATTGGTCCTACAAAATCCAGGCAAATCTGGACTCCTGCAGAGCTCCCAAAATCTCCAGCCATTCAACCTGCTGTCAGTACTGGTGCTGTGACAGATTCTTCAGGCAGTCGCATGTCTATGAGGGGACCAGTGTTACCACCCCAAATTATCAATTCCTTCTGGACTTGCAAACAACTTGAACCTAATGTTGGCCACTCAAATTCAAGGAACTTGTCAACATCCAGTGCTGCATTACTGGACCACTCTCAGGAGAAGGAGGGCAGAAGAGTCAATGTGGCAGCAGAGAATAACAATCTAGATGGTACAATGGGTGAAAAATCCAGGGAAGGTGCCGCTTCACCATTAGAGGATCTTGAAGAAACAGATGAGTGCTTGTCAGCAGAGCAGTGGAAGTTGCTGAAGGAAGAGTGGAATCAGAAGGCCCTACCGCACCAGTCCCAGACACTGTTCGAGTCACGCACGATGGCCCGCCTCTGCAATAAATCGTTCTTTCAGAAAGGGCGCTCCCTCATGGACTTCATCCGTCGAGAGGAGGTACCCCTGACGTACCCTCTGATGAGTTCCTATCTGTATCTCTGTGTCTGTGAGGGCCACCAGGAGGAACTGTTTTCGGTTTATAATTGGTTCACCGCCAACCATCCGGTGTTGGACGACGGGGTGCTGACCAATCTCATTGCCGGTTTCTCCCAGACTGACCGGTGGCGGGAGAGCCTGAGATTCCTGGAGGACTTGAAGCAGGTCGGGGCACCGTCTGCCCGCAATTACCAGCTCATCATCTGCACTGCTTGCGATCAGGGGGAGTACAACCTGGTTGAAGAGCTTCTCCAAGACCTGTACAGTCGTGGCAACTGTCCCTCTGAGCAGACTTGTCTTAAGCTGCTGCAAACCTTCCACTGCGAGACTGAGGATGTTGCCTTCTGTGATCGAAGTACCAAGCTGGTCAGTGAGCTGCTGAGGTATTTTTCTTCTAAGAGACTCTACCCATCTGTGGCTGTGGGTAATGAGTTAAAACACTGGTTTCATAGGTAAGACTGTTTCCTTTTTTCCTGAGAAAACTAGCACTAAAGATATTGTTGAAAGCGTGCCCATGGGAACAAATTTTTCTTAGGGGGTGCTGAGGTTGTAAAATCATAAATGTCTAGGGTTTTTCGGTGGATCTCTGACAGTAGTGAGTTTGATTATGTTTGTGACTTAATATGGTCAAAGTTTGGGTTGATATTTTGTACACCAGCACCCTGGTCCAAAAAAGTTAGGGGTGCTTCAGCACCCACAGCATCCCCCGTCCCCATGGGCTTAGTTGAAAGGCTTCAGAATGTTCAATGGTACAACTACAGTAGGTTAATGACAAGACAATAGCTAGGTGGTAAATATTTGGAGCGTTTAAATGGCATAATTACAATGTACGTGTAGGCCTCACCAAAACTCAGATTGTACATTATCAGTACATCTCATTCCGGTAGTTGCCAGTGTACCACTGTTTCGTATGTGACTGATGATGACTGCACTTTGTGTCAGAGAGATACAGATTTTGGCCTGCATTGATGTGTGCAAGTAATTTTATAGTCATTGTAACCTCTTTGCTGTCTTAAGAGTTTGGCTGGCTGACAGTGTCAGGCTTGGTGGTTGGATGGTTAACAAGTCTGAATTAGTGAGCAGGAGGTCATGGGTTCGAATCCCACCAGCTGGGAATTTTTCTTCTCACCAGTGTAAAATGCTTTTATTGCTAGTTGAGATACTGCCTGTGTTTAAATATGTTTTGGCATCAAATTTTGTGATTAATAACCAAAGGATTGCATGAACAGTGAGCTGAAACTTAAGAAGATTATAAGTTGAATCTTTTATTCTGAATTCAATTTTCAGTGGTGCTATTAATAGCATGCTATTAATAGCGTTAAAGGCAGGGAACACATGAAATGCTCTCCATTAAACCTAACTCCTTGGGTATACTAGTATGTATAATCATATTGAATTTTGAAATCGGAGGATTTGGGACTGTTGGGCTATCCCTAACCATCCTCAGTCCTTCAAAATCCTCTGGGCGGTTTTGGAGGATTTGGGAGGATTTAGGCTGCATGGCAAAATTGCATTGCTGATTGTAAAGGATGCACTGTCTCAAGGTTGTGGGTTAGCCCCAGTGTTATGTTCATCCGTGCATAAATTAATGCCCTTATAATTATATGTGAATTTTTGAAATCCTCCACACTGCTCCAGGATACCAGTCACACTGCCTCAACATAATGAGAGGAATTGCCAGAGGATTTTGAAGGATTGAGGATGATATCCTAGCCAAAAGGACCTAGGCGGTTAGGGTTAAAGAACAGCTGATCAGATAACTTAGATTGTAACATTTGTTGCCCTTCAAAGAGCATAGTTTCAGCAAACCTTTTCTTGATTTGCTCTAGCCATTTTAGAAACATTTCCAAGAGTAATATTTTTTGTCATATGTAACCAATATCTGTTCTAGGAGGCAAGGAGAAGTGTGGAAGGCATCAATGACCAGGGTAACTATAGGTGGGAAGTGTAAATGCTGCGGCTCCAGGCTGGAGTCGCTAGACATCGGCGAGGAGGAATTCCTGAACCTTCAACATCAAATCACAGAGAAGGTACCACAGGGAGATATTCATCGCCCGTCTTATGTTCTCAGTACAGATGTCCCCAGATTGAATAGTCCGCTGATTGTGCATTAACATTTTAACCCTTGCCGTTATCAAAGGTACATGAAATATGTCAGTAAATGAAATTTGAATTTGATGCCTGGTCCTTCCTGTAATTTTCTGTTCTTGAACATATTTCGGTTGTCTCCCTGAAACTTTCAACCATTTTATAATATCCCTTGCAGACTTTGTTGTCAGAGTTATTCACTGTTCCAGTTATATTATCCTTGGTCATAAGAGTAAGTGGCAAATTGACTTTACGGTACATGTACATTGTATGCAGATTTGTAATGAAAGACTTGTCCGTGTCTCACTGATAGGTAATTAAGGGAGGAGACATCTTCCAGAAGACCCGCCCGGATGAGTTTGAAGCCTTTATGGAATTCGTGGATGAGGGGGCTCCGTATGATATCATCATTGATGGGCTCAATCTTGCCCACATACGGAAGAACACACTGCCGTCAAAATTGGTATGTAGCAACTGGGACATTTGATGTACACCTTTTTTTTTTGGAAAGTCACAAGCATAGAAAGTTTGAGATCGGGACTGAGAGTGTTTTAGCAAGGTTAGCAGGCTGTTTGTACTTGATGCCGCCGGCAAAAGCGAAGAGCAGTTTTGTTGTTAAGACCCGTTAAGACTGCCTAAGACGCACGAAACCAACCATCACGGCATCAACACAAGACCTCCAGTCTGAATTGGAGCCCCAAGCTACAATGTACATGTATTCAAATGAACTACAAACAAACAATATTCCTTTGCTAATGTTCATCCTGTTACTTGTGAGTAGCCTTTTTTCTGGCCTTATATCTACCAGTAGTCTTGTGATGGTCTTGACGACAGCGCTGACAACTGGACAAGTAGGCATTTACCTCTGCTTTGTGAAAAATCATACAGATTTGCATCCTCACTACCTAGATGTACAGTACACAAAGATGAATATTCATGAGTGCACTAACTTTCATGGAGTAACACATGAATGTTCTATTCCATGAACCACGGCCAAATGGAATAGAACAAATCTGCCGTCAAATGTAATTATTTTTTCCAGTGCATGAATACTTTCAGTACACTGTATGTTTTATGCAACTCCTGAATTCAGAATATGTCCTTTGAAAACTTTTTAGACCAGTCACAGTTTTCTTTGTCAGTTCAACATAAAATCCGCGGTATAAAGTTTTCATGGTCCAATTCAATTCATGCTAATCAACATACTCGTTACAATTTGCTCTTTTAACAGCTTGCTTGATTTGTTCAGCTCTATTTATCGCTATCACTCATGAATTGAGAGGGTTCTCCAACTGAGTGGAGATAGAATGACGTTCCATGTTTATTGGTGTTGCCCAAAATTTTGTATGTTTGTGTGAAGAGCTGTAATTGTGCCTATTGCTTATACATGTTTGTAGTATATAGTGGTATGTCCAGCAGGGTATATTCAGTGGCCAGTTGTTGAATATACCCAGTCATTCATGACACAAATGAGGATCCACCAATCAGATAACAGGAATTTCATCTGGCGTTGTGTGATGTGTTACATGTACATGTATGTAACGCCTCTACTTTTAGAGATGTTCTGCCGCCACTCCGATGGTTTTGTTGGAGATTGACATAAGCTTAGCTTAAAATGTCCCCTATAGAAACTCATCAATATTTCTGCTTATGCTTCTGTTCTGTCGATATGCAGCTGAGACAGTTTGTGGTGTATCTGGCCCAAGAGTGCGGCCTCAAGTGTCTGGTCTTGGGACGACAGCACATGCTGCAGTACAGCCGAGCGTGGACCAGGCATCACATGGATGTCATACGGGATCTTGCCGACTGCTTCTTCACCGAAAATATGTAAGGAGCTCTGATGTCTGGATGGAAATTGGGGGGGGGCCTGAGTTTTTGTATATTTCGTTGGTCAATTTTCAACTTTGATCGGAGCAAGCATTTGAATTGAAAGAAACTAATGGTTTGTTTTATCATACCCCCCAAATTGCGGCTCATGGTGCTGCCATCTCCTCATGCACAGCTCTCTCATGAATATGTATGAGGTATGGTAATAGCAGTGTCACTGCTTGTGTGTGATGGCATAGCAAATTGTTGCCTTGATTTGTTGGGGAATAGTTTATGTATGTATTCAATTTGTGTGCCGATCCTTGTTTGTATTTGGTAAGCAGCAAAAACGGGGACTGGTACATGATAATGATGATGAATGGACCATTGAGAATCCAGCTCTCTCATGAATATGTATGAGGAATGGTAATAGCAGCATCACCATGCAGAGATTTTTTTCAGTCATGTGACAAGTTTGGTAATGAGTCAGTCCACAATAAAATGACGATGAAAATTGATTGTACAGAATTTGTTAAAAGGAATGCCTTTGTTAAAGTTCATTTTAGTAGCTCATCACTTGATTAATGATTGATGATTTTGCCCATGCAGAGTCACATTTAGATTTATTTAGATAAACAGATTTAGATTCGTAACTTCTTCACATATTTTAATTGAATGAACTAATTAAGTAAAATTTCTTTTGATTGTTCCCGCATATCACTTCCGATCGTTTAAATTTCAACTGTTTCAAACAAAACATTCGAAATAATTTTATTTAGCATTTTCCGATAATTTTTTTCAATTAATCAATGAAAACACACCAAGACTGTAACTGTCTGGTATCTCACAATGAGTTGTAGGGAGATAAACAAAGAGACATGAAGCATTTCATTTACATTAGTGATTGCAATTGGGTGGGCCGTATTCCTACAGTGTCATTAGGTAAAACCAAGCTTGGGCCAATATCATAGAGCTGCTTAAGCACAAAATTTGCTGAAGCACAAAAAAACCTTGCTTAAAAAACAAAGGTTACCAGCTCAAAATCTGTGTGATTGGCATGCTAACCAAAAGACAGGTGAATTTTATTCCAAAACAATATGCATCACATGGAGTTTTGGCTGGTAGCCTGATTTGTCAAGCAAGGTTTTTCACGCTTGACAAAATTTTGTGCTTAAGCAGCTCTATGAAATTGGCCCAGGGAGTAGCAAGTGTTGCAATTTCATTTGCCATCGGTGAGCAATCAAAGGTTCTGCTCTTTCTCCAGTTCTGAAGACGATCCATTCATGTTGTATGCAACCCTGCACAGTGGCCCCAAGGCCTGCTATGTGTCACGTGACATGCTGCGAGATCACAAGGCGTTACTCGATCAACCCACCCACATATCATTTGTCAAATGGCAGAGAGGACACCAGATATACCCGCTGGGCATCGAGGGGAGAAAAGCTGTTTTCAAAGTGAGTGCCTATGCTCCCTAAAAGAAGTTGTTTTTGTAAAAAGTAGAAAAATGGAAGTTTTTCCACAGTAGGTTGGTAAGTTCGGCATGATCGATCAATCCTGCAGGAAATCCTGGAAATACTTTACCACATCCAGGAATTAGAAACAGCAATTCGGTTATGGCAAAGGATTGGCAAATCCTGCTGCAAAATCCATTAATTGTGCAGAGATTGACCGATTGTGCAGAGATTGACCGATTGTGCAGAGGTTGACTGATTGTGCAGAGATTGACTTATATGTGCAGAGATTGAACGATTTTGCTGCTATCTCCAACCCACCCACATTTGTGAACACCTCCAATCGTGGCCTGGTATTGTCTTATTCAAACATTAACTTCTTGTGAAGTGCCCAGATAGGAACTCTTCGTGGTTTTCCTGTAACAAATAGGAGACTTTGAAACGCTGGTGGCAGCAGACATATTCTTCCCACAGTATTGTGCACGCTCAGAACTATGTATGCATGTGTGCTCAGAACAATAAATGCGCACTCAGAAACGGTAAAAAGAACCAGTTCATGTTTACTGCCACCAAACATCTCAAAGTCTCCCATTGAATGTGGATATGTACTCCAACTCTCAGACTCATCAATAAGACGTGACTTTCCCTTTCCCCAGGACAGGATTGCATATGACACCGTGGCCCAGTGCAGTGACACAGGCTGGCACATCCCTTGCGACGACGGCCTCCCACGATACTCCTACCAAGTACCACTGGATTGGCTGTGTGCCAGGAGAGTCAAATGAGGCCAAAGTGCCCACATATTCACGAACAACGGAAGAAACTCTGCAAAAGGCCATATTCTGTGCTGTTTGGCTTGACCGTGGCGGGATGGTAAAATGAATGAAAGAACCCAAGAGTTACTAGTGATAAACAGATAGCCGTTGTTCTTTTTTGGTTATGTGCCATTCTGCCATTCAGCTAGGTATACCTGTAGTCACTGAACACATCGCGATAATACAATACCCTGTCGGCAGTGACGAAATCTGAGACTTTACTTCCCCTTTGGAAGACAGTCTCCCACTGCCTTGAATTGGAAGGAAACGGTGATCAGCTGATGACGGACGGGCCAAGCCACAAGATCAACAGACTATGCAAAGCTCCACTTCTCGAGTCCAACAGTAATTCTAAAAAGTCATAGAACATTCGGCTTTTTTCCAAGAGTGAATACTAGACTACAAAGGCAGAAAGAATCCAGGCTATATTTGGATGCAAAAGTAGGACAAAGACCGGTGAAAATCAAGTCAAAAAACCATCTGAGCAATGCAGCTTAGGAGTAAGCCAGTGAGTGGTTGAAACAGAACTGGGAATCCTTTCAAGTATTAGAGTGGCAGGTTTACATCAGTCTGTCAGTGAAAGGCTGGTACTTGCCCCAAGGTGGTTTTTTTTTTTGGCAACTGTATAGTGACTGAAAAATATATACTGCAAAGGTAGTTTCTTCCTCGAAGCTGTTTCCAAGATGTGGCATCCATGTTAACCAATTCTGTGTGGCATGATTGGTGTATTTTGAAGACTTCACATCTGCACCAAAGTTTATTGAACTAGATATGGACAGGGAAGGGTACATTTCTGACCACACATAATTCTGACTGAGCCAAACAAAAGCAATTAGAACTCAGAATTTGTGGAGTCACACATCTGGGTCATGCCCCTTGGCAGATTTTAATGGCCAATCACAATTCTAATCAAGGTCCAATCTTTCCAGCTTCTTCAGTACCTGGAAGTTCATTGCAAGGGTCGTTTGACATATTTCAAAATGCAGTAGAAAGTACTCCAAGGCAAGAAAAAAACTCACACAAAAACTCAAAACTGCGATGTTTTAAAAATTCATATATTATTTTCTATTTTTAATCCTTTTTGTGAAAGGTGTCGAATCATCTAATTTAAACTGGATGTCCATTGATACTGCTTGCTACTGCACAAAAATTAAAACAAATACTTGAGAGCAACACTCTAACAGTATTCTAACAAATGATCGCTTGAATGATTTGTTCAATGTACTCCAATGAATTACTACAATTGGCTAAACCTTTAGTCCTATAAATAACAAAGCAAACTTGTTGAAACAATAAATACAAGGATAATACAAGGTACAAGTTATTTGAAAAAATAAACTTTCTATCCTAAGGGAAAGTGCACAAAAAAGGTAAATCCTATCTTAGCAGCAAAATAAAATAACGATCATAAAATACTGAACAAAACTGATTGTGGCGAATAATGTTTCGAATAAAAATCCTGTGCGTATTATTTTATTCTAATAAACTTGCAAGGAAAAAATATATTTTGATATACATGTGCATTTACTTATTTGAATGTGTTATTGGAACACTGCATATGGCCTTAAGTACAGAACTGTGTTCTTATTGAAGACGACATCAAGTGAACAGCTTTTTACTGATATGATCCTTGCATTAAGCAATCAAGTCTTCACCGCAAACATACTTTGGTATGTCAACTGACGCATTAATTAATAACTTTGAGGATTAAAACTATAAAATATGTAATGTTCAAATAAAGTGGGAGGGCTTTGTTCTAAGAAATTGCACATCAAAGTTTGTTCTCTTTAACAAAAGCTGCGATATGAAACACCCTCCCATATGTTTAGACAGGAAATGGGTTTTGCTGGGAAATGTTAAAAAAAACCCAGAGTTTATGTAAAGTCCACTCACCCACAATTTTATGTTTATTCATACATTTAACCCTTACATTTGTGGTGCATCTGGAAACTACATGTAACACTGCCCAAGAGTACAACAGTGGTACGTGTACAGAAGCACTACAAAAAGTCCTGTCTTCCAGCACCCCCCCTCCCACATCATTACTTTGCACTTGTAAGCACTTGGTATTTCTTAAAGCACACATGGGTAGTGGGATATAACATTTGTGCTGCCACCACTAATGGCACTATGAAGGTTACTTGCAAGAAGTGCAATGTGTACATGGCCAGTTTTCAGTTGAATGTGCACAACCCTGTCGCATCTTAGCCTGATGGGAACACACCTAAGCCTGGGGCCATGGTTGTGGCAGAAGGCAACAAGACTCTGCAACATGAGTAACGCCGCATGTGGTATTCACAGGATCAACCAATCAGTGTCAACGATTCAGGTTACCTTGACGATGTACAGGTATAACCCAACCATAGAGTGTCACCTTGTTGTCCAAGACTGACCAATCACATCTTTCTGTTGAGGCAGCTATTTACTTAATGTGAGCACGAATGTAACTTATGAATATCTGGCATACAAAGATTTATTTTTCAGTGTCATTCTTAAGCTTGCCAGATTCATATTTCTTTGAGACATCTTCGAGAGAATCCCAGTTGGAAACTGAAGACCAAGAGCAAAGAATGCCAAGGCCCAGTTAAACTACCAAGGAAAAACAATACAATACAAAAAAACGTTAAGAGAAAAATCAATGTAGATTTTCCCCACAATCACAAAACTGATGACCAAGTCTTTCAGTGCTTTACCTTTGGTAACCTTGGTAACGCTTGATGCATTCTTATTTATCCAGGATATCCCTGGCTATGCGGAATGTGCACTTAAAACACTGTGTCAAACTACAAGGAATTACATGTATGACCCAACGCTGCGCAACGAAATTGCCTCCAGCTCCACGCGTGCTACTTGGCAACAAAAGAGTTTTGTAGGTTTTTAAAGCACGTGGGGATAACCTGCATTGGAAAATAAAATCGACTTCCTCATCCATGGCAAAGAATAGAAAAAATGCATCAGAATGTGTTTTTAAGTACCTTCTTTTAAAAGTAATAGGCACTCTCCCTCAAGAAAAGTTTAACGTACACTGTACATGTACATTTAGCAGCACTGTTCATCAACCTTTTACCAGAGCATTTTTTGTCGTACTTGGAAAAAGTTGGAAATTTACAAACCAGACATAAAGAGTAAACCTTTTTAAAACTAAAGAGCACACAGAGGTTTATCAT